GATTAATAGGTAAAATTTTTCATGAATGTTTTTTTTTTTTTTTCATCTGTGTTCAAAGCTTTTAGGTTGTTCTGTGTTTTGAAAATTCTTACCTTAGTGAGTTATAATGCCTACATGCAAATTTACCTTTCAAGAATACTAATTAGGTTACAAAGTGAAGCTCTCTAAAGAAGTCAGGAAATGCTGAGCTTCGAGGTATCTTTGCAATAAAATAGTGAGCAAACTCGTGTCAGAGCTGTGTTTGTTCACAATCACTGTGTTTCCTCACTATGCTCATACCGCACTGCTGCTATAAAATAGGAGTTTCAGACATGCGCTATGGATATTCGCTTCTGAGAGAGAGAGGAAAAAAACAAACAAACACTATGATCCCTCTATCATATTTTTAATTCAGTGACGGGGGGGAAAAATATGAATGTGGATGTACTTATCTTTGAGTTTTATGGAACTGCATCATACTGTTATACCAGTATTGTTCAAAGTTGCAGTAGTGTATTGAGTGTACATGCACATGTAACTTGCTCTTCAAATCCTTTTAAATTATCATTAGATGTTAAATGACTTTATAAGTGGAATATAAGAATAGGTTGGAGATAGGAAAAGAAAAACTTAATTTCCATCTGTTCAGAATAGAAATAGCACATGAAGTCATCATTACTGTATTTCTTCTTGTTCTGTCAATGAGATTAATCTATGTACTTTGTCATGTTTTGTCTTTGTTCCATCATGTTCATTTTTAATTTGTTTGTTTCATAGCAGAATGTGCTAATAATGCTCTTTCCTGGGAGATATCTGAACCTATTAGTTTGAACATTAAACATCTTTAGCTATTTGGGAGTTAAAAACAGTTCTAAGTGAAGATACGTGTGAATAAAACGTTCCCCTTCCTTTGGTAACATGGATAAAAAATGTCTGCAGTACAGTTAATCTCTTCAAGTTAATTGATCCATTTTGTATTAAGCATTGTATTTCTTTGAAACTTACTAACAATTTTTTGAGCCAACATTGTCTTTGCAAACATCAACAAATGAGTTATAAGAGTGAAGACCGAGACGATTTCTGATGGTCAGAGGGGGAGAATTCTGTGAGTTGACTAAGATTTTTTTTGTTGTTGAAATGAAAAAGCAACAAGAAAATGTAGAATGTTCACAGCATGCCATTTTGCCTGGTGAAATTCTAGGCTGTTTTAGAAGACAGTGGGTTGTTGACTTACTTTGAAATATGATTGTGTACATGGACATGCAGGCATACATAGTGTGCTGTAAGATGGAAAATGGTTCCGCTGGGTCAGCTTGGTCTGAAATGCTTTAAGAATTTTTAGTTAGTGAAGCATTTAAGATCATTTTTTTCTTTTGTAAGCTTTTGACATACTTTTTAGATAGAAAAACACTTTTATATGTAGGCTTTATATAAAAATAGTATGATTTGTTTGGTTCTAGGTGCAGTGCTAAATTTACTGGTGTATATTAGCTAATTATTTTAACCAAATGAGATTTCAAAACCATTCCATATATGCACTTTAGGTTCGCAACGGGCTAAAATTTAAGTTCTGTCACTGTGTAAAGAACGTAGAGAAGCATCTGTCATGTATCTGCCATGCTGCTAATAAACTGTTTCCCAGTTGTTTAGGGGCTAGATTTTATAATATTGGCATGATTTTATTCTTTTATTTTATTTCATCCAGTGCTCTTTTGTCAAGGAATAGGTCTGCTCAATGTTTAATTTACATATGTGAAATTACATACAGTGAGCAGATTAATGTAACTAATTTATTGTAGCTTTACATAGAAGAAAAGTGACATTTAAAAAAAAAAAAGAGATGTTATTATTTTTTTCTTCCTGTATTAACTCATGTTGAGCACTACTGAAATTTTAGGCAATACTCTGCTGAAAATGTAGGCAAACCATATTTGAACAGCCCATACATAACTGCCTGTTTCCACTTTTCTAACTGTGTGGTGAAACCCTGATAATTTAAATAGCAAGTGATTTTAAAAAATATTTTGTGCATACATAAACTGCAAAAATAAAAATTAAAAAAAAAATTCAAAGGTCAGCTAAACTCCACTGCTATAAATTATTCCAATCTGAACAAAGATTCCTCACAAAACTTTCAGCTTCTAAGCAACCACCAATAAAAATATGTTCTCTAAGTGCAAATTTAGTCCTTTAAAGCCTTACTCATGTAGACAGCTCCATCAAAGCTAAAGAAAACATTCCATTGATTCAGGTTGTACAGGGCCAGGACTCAGGAAGGTAGCTTTCTGTGATGCTCAAATGAATAAATACAGACTGTGTGGTAAAAAATACACTGCAAAATGAGAGGTAGCTTCTTAATGATCTGGAATCCTTGATGTAAAATGATGTTGATGATCAGCATTTGATCAATCAGCATTGTGAATGATGTAGTGGAGAGCTGTGTGGAATGCACCACCATTGTATGCCAGGAATGAAGTGGAAAGATAATGAGAGACTGATGGTGGATAAGTGGTTAGCCTACTTTAACTATATAAAGATAGTCTGTCTTCCTCTCTGTGGGCCTGTGTCTCAGCTGTGGAGAAACTGGTTCAGTGGCTAATTTAAAAGAAACTGGTTCGATGGCTCCTCCACCTGTAAAAACCAGTATTTCATCCACTAGAAGTACGCGTTCCTCTGCTCAAGAGAGGGGATACAGTGAGTATGTACCATGTATCACACTGTGGTTTTACCTGCATGACCACGGAGAGGTTATGAGGAGGTGGGATGGAGAACTCACCTTGGCTCTACAGGCATTCCAAAATTAGAGGCCACTTCTTAGTGATCTAGAATCCATGCTATAAAATGAGGCTGATGATCAGCAGGCTCAGCAGCTAAAAATACCCACTGTATTTATGTAACAGTGTAACGTGTTTTAGCTTCATAATAACATGAGGCAACAACTAATGAGCACATTGACTGGTGTACTTGAAACCTAAGATAATACTTAGTTGTAATTTCAGATTACATGTTACAAAGTACTTCTCCAGTGGTAGACAGCTGCAGGTGCGAGTTTTCCTTCTGAAAATGATGTGCTGGTGATAGAAATTACGGAACGCAACTGTGATTCCAAAACAAACTGAGACATTTGCCCATCGTCATTTAGGAAGTTGGCAGCAGAGTTAGCATGTTCCAGATGTAAGTTTTGAAAGTCTAGGGTCACAACAGGGCAGTGTTCTCCCTTCTCTGCTGTGGAGTTTGTATTTTTCCCTTCCTGTACAGTAGAAGAGGCTGGTAGCACCCCTTGTTTGTTACACACCATGGGATCTGGATATGTTATTTTATCCATAACAGATAATAATCTAGGCCATGTCTATACAAGAAAATGCTTAACTGATTTTAAAAAGAATGATTATAAGCCAGGTGCACTTAAAACAGTTTGCCACCTCTTTAAATTGTTTTTGTAATTTACAAAATTCAGCTAAACTGATTGAAAAGATGATAAAGTCAATTTAAGTCACCTAGTTTAGGGAGCGGGACCTGCAACTTCTCCCTGTAGACAAGGTCTTGCCTAGTAAGTAGGAGGATCAATGGCAGGTTAATGCAATTGGCAATGTAAGAAGGTGGAAAAAACAGACTTATTATTTGTCTGTGCTACGCAGTAAACTACTCAGGCAGGGTTTTTTTTCTTCAGAGATCTCTCTACAGTGACAGCTAGCACTCTACTAAAATTAATACTAATAATATGGATAATGATGTGCTAAATTGTTTTCAGTATAGTTATTCCAATTTTACAGGAGTGTGGTATTGAACTGAATTTACTCCATTAAGACAAATACAGCTGCCTATAGCAGGAGGCCACTTTGTGCTTTGAGTTATGTGGGATTCTGATGGGAATCACATGCTTGTAGCTAAAGAAGAGATAAAAAGAGGTAGATAGAGAAGAGTAGACTGTACTGTTTTGTTTAAATTTACAGTTCACATAGCACTTGTTTTTCTTGGCATGTGTTATTTGCTACATGATCTAATAAATAAGCACAGGCACTGATTGTTTGAAGCATGCTGAGTGATGACCCGAACTAGTAAGTATGCCTTGATGGAAAACTCTTACATAGAGAAACAGAACTTTTATTCATCAATGTAATATCCGATTATTTGCTGTGAATGAAGGGTTTGATTCTTCCATTTCTTGGACTATTTAAGGAAAATTATATCTATATAAAGCAATGGAATGGTTAGTTCACTGATTGTGTTTTGATTTTCTGCATGTTGGCCCATTTCTCATTTTAATGTATGCATTAAAATAACAGGGAGTGTGCAATGTCTTTTTTTTTTTTCTTTTTTTTTTTTCTTCCCCTGGGGCCTTTGCTCATTGTTTTCTGTCCAACGGTCAGTGCAAAAGGAGGAACGGCTTTAGGAAAAGGGTGATGCCACAGTTGTAGCAGGAACATATTCTGTTGATATGATGTGGCAGAGCAGCAAGTACAGTATTAGTTTCTGCTGTGTTGTTGAATAAACCATAGAAAGTTTTGCAGTGTAGAATACATATCCTCCTGCAACTTATTTCTCCTTTCAGCACGCTTCTGCTTTTCAGCAAGAGTGAGTAATGCTCTATTAGCAATTAAGAGCCAGATTTTTAAAGGTGCTTAGGCAACTAAAGAGGTAGGTAGGTGACTAATAGGATTTAGGAGCCAAGCTTGAGAAAACTAAGTGTCTTCAGAAGACTAAGAATTCTTACAGAAAGCCTTGGATTTCCTCACTCTACCCAATCAACTGCAGCCCGCCATCCTTTCTCTATTTTACTGAGCAAACTCATGCCCTGGGAGAACCTCTTTGATGGGTATTCCTGGTAATTCCAGAGGCAGTTCTGTTCTCCATGCAAATTTCCCTGTATTTTATGGCCATAAAGACAGCACCATGGATGTGTCTGCACGCACTGCTTTACCAGCAATGCACATCCCTTCCAAGGCGAGTTCGCGCTCCGAATCAATGGGTTGCTCTGCACGTGGAACGCAAGTCCAGGTCCTCAAAGGGAAGGGAATCCAAAGTGTCGTTGCAGAAACCATAGCTCTTTATAGAGATGTTGCCCAGGGCAAGGCGGAGGGGCCTCAGGTGGCGGCGGGAACCGGGTTCAGCCACCGCCCCCTCCCGCGGCCCGGTCGCGCTTCCGCCCGCGTCAGCTGACTGCCGCGAGGAAGCGGCGGCGCGAGCCCCGGCCCAGCCCCGAGCCGCCGCCGTCTGCGGAGCACCGTCCCGACCCCCCTCCGCCATGGCAGGGCTAGTAGTGAGCGGAGCCCAAGTAAGTGTCCGCGTCACGCCGCGCACCGCACCACCTGCCGCCGGCGCCTCTCCGCCTCTTCCCTCCATCTCTGCGGGGGGTCGGCTGCTGCCGCTGGGAGCCCCGCGGAGGCATCGACGCCTCCCGTCCGCCCGTGCGGGAGTTCGGAGCGCCGAGCGCTGCGCGTGGAGCCCGCCGCGATCGTGCTGCCCGTCCGCCCGGCACAGGGCGCTGTGTGCCTCCGCCCCGGGCGCTTGAGTGCAGGGGGGTCTCGTTCTGTCCCTGTCGCAGCTCCTGCAGGCTCGCCAGGTGCAAAGGGCTCGTTCCTGAGGCTTTGCTGGGGAGCACCTCTGTTTGCACAGCGATCTCCAGTCCGAGTTCTGCATCTGGCGGTCAGGCCGGGCGTGGGGTCTGCTGGCCTAGCGGTGACCCAAAAGCACCCCAGTTGCTCCAGCGCTCAGCCAGCATGTGGACCCTGAGGGCTGTGGGAAGAAAGGAATGAAGCTTTGGTTCTTTCAGAAAATGGTATGCCGTTGACCGGGGTGCTGCCCCTTGGGTTGTTCCTGTGCTCTGGTTTCTGTTTCTGTGTGGAATTCCTGTAAGCATACATGTGATAGGGAGGCAAGTGGCTAATTGCGCAGCTGCCTCAGGAAATGGTTCCTGTGGTCTCTGCATGCGCTGTGGCCCAGAGGAGCGTTGTGTGTTCCCTTGGGCCTGGAGTAAATCCCTCCGAGTGAAGCATAGCTTTCATTTGGCTTTGTGCCTAACATCATCCCACCTGCTAGCAGGTTACAGTGTCATACCGTGCCCATCTGACTGGAAATGTTATTCACATGTAATGCCCTTCAGTGGAAGGCGATATGTTTTTGAAATGAATCTAAAAGAGGTCAGAGGGCTGGAGCACCTCAGCTGTGAAGACAGACTGAGGGAGCCGGGCTTGTTCTTAGCCTCTGAAAGTAAAGCCAAAGAGAGGTATGACTACTGTTGACTGATGTTAATTTGTTATGTTTTAAATGTTTTGTAAATGCGTATTTTTTTCCTGAATTGTATACAGTGTATTGAAGAGTCTGCGAGAAGGTCTGAGCTGCCCACAGCCATCTGATGCTGGCATCTGAGTGTTTCTTTGGGATCCTGAGCTGGGTGCCAGTAATGAAGAGTGTTTGATGATGACCATCTCAGTTTGAGGTGGAGAATTAGGGAATAGAGACATCTTTATCTAGTTCTCATCCCATGGGGTGTTCTGTGCTGGGTATAGAGAATCGGAGAAACCTGCTGTTACTAGTGTGCCCTGTACCCAAGGAGCCTAGATGTCTTGGGCAAGGTGTATTTGCTCTCATCTCTCAGTGATGACATCTCTAGATATGCACTTGAAAGCCCTTTTTTTTTTTTAGGGTTATTTGAGGTGGATGCAAAAGGAAGAATACCAGATTGTGTATATTTGGTTGTTTTCCTGAGCAAATTATTTTGAACTGAAAGACTAAAAATGAAGAGACATTGTTTTTTTTGCTTGTCCAGACTGTTGAAGACTTGCTTCATACCAGCATTGTTCAAGCAGCAGAAGAGTGAATAAATAATGCTCTCCAAAACTTATTGAAGAAGTCTTATTGTGTATTGCATAGCTGGTGATCTGACAGTTGCTGCTGTTGTTATAGTCAAGAGGGCTCTTGAGGATCCCAAGCAAGTTTAAATAAAAGGGATAGAGATCTGAACTGAGTGTACTTTGTAGGAAAATAAATCTGCTGGCTTAAATTCAAAAAGGTGCTTGTAACAGTGAATGAGCTGAAGTGGACTTTGTGCAAGTGAAATACCTTTCACAAGGCCTCAGCATAACAACTGTATGCCACCTACAAATACAACTGTGTCCAATCTGTTTGTACCACTTGTGCAAGTATATTTATATAGTATAGTGGTTCAAAGACTGAAGCTTTACAACACGTTATGCATTTTGCCTTTTGCATGCTTCAAAATATGCTTAGATGAACTTTTTTCTTCAACTTCTGTTCTTGTGGACCTAGAACAGCTGAGGATAGGTAAGTTTCTGGAGCAGTGGGAATGCAGGTTGGAATTGCTTGCTCTATCTTCACCCCTGTGGGGGAGAGATGGTAGTTGGTGCTCTTGCTATGGCTGTACTTGCACGAGATTGTCTTACACTCCTAGTGTTCACGGACATCAAATTTTAGTTGCATCCATTACATGTTACACTGAATTACTGCTTTGTCTGAAATATTCTGCTGCTAAAATGGTGTCTCTCCAAGGGTTTGCAAGCATCTATTTATAGTAATCTACCTTTCTGTGAAGAGTGAAGCAATTCTTGTTTGTGTACTTCATGTATATTGTAAAATATGTTGTGGTTTTCTTAGATGAAAACTGAAATAAATATACATACATGCTTAATTCAGTGGAATGTGGGAAATCGTGTCTGTTATGTCCAAACTATTAGGATGTAAACTAGCTAAAACTTTTCCCGGGTCCTTATATTTAGTTTCTAATGTCACATGTATATCAAATAGCAGAAATTATTGTAAGAATAGGCATGTCATAACAAGAGGGAAAAAGTTGTTTAACTGAACTTCAAGCAACTTGTTTTCTGATCATAAAAATATTCCACTGCAGTGAGGTTTGTTTGCTTAAGGTATGGAACAAAGTGAATTAAATTGAATGTGATTCCATATGATCAGATTGCAGACATTGTTATTGTGTAAGAAATGGGGATAATTTGCACAAGTACATGCCATCAGTCTGATCTGCAGAGGTGTCTCTATCAGAAAGTGAATTACTATTAAAACAAAATTTGACCTTTCTGCATATTTTTCATCTAATATCCTGTAGGCCAGTGGGACATGGTCTTGAAATTGTATTAGATATCTAGATAACAGCTGTATCTTATAGATAGTGATCTAACACAGTGACGAAATCCACCTAAATAGCAAGTTGCCATTTAAAGGCAACTAACATTTATTTAGCAAAATATTTGAAATGTCAATTTTGGATGAGTCAATACAGACATGAAGAGTTCATGACAATATGTTTAGCAGACTTTGTAGGGATTCTCTCTGAAGAAATCAAACCAGACCTCCAAGACAACAGAGCTGACAGAATACATGAAGTGTAATCTTGTTATTGTTTGTGCTTTTCTGGAAATATCATCACTTACTTCATCATGGCTAAAGATAAATAAGAATAGACTATTTTTACTACCATTAATTCTTCCTTTGTTCATTGAAGGTAGTTTAGATAGGTAGGTATTGAAAGGAAGAAAAATATACATTAGCATTTAGGGTACAAAGGGGAGTGAAACAGCAGTTGTGTTGAAGCCAAAAATCTTTAAGACTTAAATCACTGTGTAAACAAGCCTGTATTTTTGGTTTCTTCTATCTTGAGTGACCTTCTTGCTCTGTCTCTAGCATATCACTGGAAATAATAATCTTCTCAAAGAAGGGGTATGAAAATGGTTTGACTTTGTACTGATTGCTTTTTTTGTCCAAAGATTTTGTAATGTTCCTGTACTGAATGACTTCCGTACTGCAAAGCAAACTAGAAAGTCCTTTGAAAGACTTACAAAATGTTTTCCTTTGGAGTATCAGAAGGGTAATCTGAAGTAATGCTAAATTCAAGTGTTAGCAGTGGAACAGAATATGATACACTACTAGAAGGAATAAATGCAATGTGTTTGATCAAATTATTGTTACCTGAAATGAGAAAAATATGCTATATTGTAAGTAGGACTAAGCATGTGTTAAGAATTAAGCTGATTGCATTGAAAGAAAAATGAGATTGTGATAGATTCTGCAGCAGTAAAAACTGATGTAGCTTGAAGCTGTAATGAATGTTCATTATACCGTATGTTGTCATTGGATCAATGAGACAGAATCTGGACAGGAAACTGTAAATAATCTACTTATGACATGCTTCCTTTTTGCTTTCAATTCTCAGGTGTCCTACATTAGTCAAGACTGTGAAGAAATTCCTGAATTCCTGGGAAGAAAATATGGACATATGGCAAAAAGACTAGATCTTAGCTTCAACTTGTTAAGGTATGTTGTAATGTTTAGGTTTTTCAAGTGCACTACGGGGCACCCACTCCAATCCTGGAATTTTTTTTTTTTTCCTCAAAATAGAAGCATACATATATGTGAGTTACATTCAGTTATTGTATGAGTGATACTGTTTTATCAATGTTTGTCTTCTCTTCTTTGGAACACAAGTAACCAGGTGAGTCTGTAAATATCTGGTGTAAATGTAAAAGATGCTCAGTATGATTTATTCTCTTCAAAATGGAAAATAAGCGATATTACCTGAAGAAGTGAAGAATGGGATGAAATGTGAATTATTCTTAACCAAAAAGCAAGTAAGTGTGTACTTCTCCATTTCCTTTTTTATTTGTGAATCTTGTGTTATCGTAAATGATTTGTAATGCTCTTTTCCTAGGTTGCGTGTATGATCGATAAGTATACAGATGTCAGCCTAGTAAGATTATCACATTAAAAAAGATAATCAGAGATAAATGGAAAGCACTCACTGGCACTGCAAGCTCACAAAAAAATCTATGAGGAAAGGTCTCCAGAGAGAGATCCTTCTTCAGTGGAAGTCAGCCCTTAAATGGAGTCTAGGAGAGGTGGAGCCAGGCTCCACCCCTTCTGATCACGCAGATGAATTGCCTTCACCTGTGTTCCTGTGTCTGACTCATTGCTTGCCTCAGGTGGTCAATCAGAGGTTCAGGCTATGATCCAACAGTTCCCCTACACTGTGTATGATTTTATTTTATGGAGCTATATAGATAAAGGTTAAAGCTAAATGTAGTTAGAATTTATAAATAAATTCTAAATTTTTTTAATGTATGGATTGATTAATAATTTTATAGCATTCCCATTAATCATTAAGAAAATACTAAACAATACTCATTTTCATTTAATTGTGTGAAAAGCCTGGTGGGGTCCAGTATTGTATCTTTCAGATTTGAAACTTTGTAGGTACGTAGGGAAAAAAAAGTGGCATATAGTTATCTTTTTAAGAAAGTGTAGTTTTTTAGTGTTAGAACTGTATATTCTTTCTTTTTCCTTATTTTTCACTGGAATTCACTCAGAATCTACCTGTGAGGAGTGAGTCATGTAGAAGTAACATGCTAGTTCTCCTAGCGAGAACAGTCATGGGTTTTATCTTACGTAACGCTAATAAATGTTATCTTGAACTGCCATAAACTGAAAGACTGATTCCTGTATGCAAGAGGCAGCAGAGCAAAGGAGACACTTAATCTATGGATTGCCATTATCTTAAGCTTACCATATATTTGTCTTGTGGCTGTATACCTATGGAAACTGTAATCAGAAGAGAGATTATTGTTTATGTATTCATAGAGGGAGAAACTTTAAACTTGAAATATATCTTTAAAAAGTACTTTGGCTTTCTACAACAAATTTCTGTCAGCATATGTGTAGGTTGAATGAAGAGGACCATGGGTTTTCACTCCTGCCATGGATAAAAATGGGATTTGCTAGCATTAATAATATGCTAATATAAGGCACTTAGCTAGTCATCCTTTAAATAGGCACATAATGTACAGTAGCTTTTCGTGTCTACCACTGGATTGCTATGGTATTGGAAGAAATTGTATGATGATGACTGTGAATTGCCACATTTTAGGATTTACTAGGTGGGAAATTGAAGTTAGTTCTAAAAATTAGCGTATCAGTTTTATCGTTTGGACACAGCAGGTAAAAGCTAGGAAGAAGAGAGGAAATTGATTTGTTACTTGAGATGCTTGTGGTAGCATTTTAATCTTTGACTAAGCTATTTTCAATAAACTCTGCTGGATGTAACTTAATTTGAATCAGACCTGTAAGATTAGATGATCTGTAAAACATAAATATCTTCAACTCCAGCTGAAGTCAGTGGTGTTCAGTAGGGTCTGTGTTTGATATTTAACTTTTTCAATTGGATACTCCTGTGTAGTGGAAATGCTGAGTCATGACCTGAAGCAGTGATTGAGCACCTGGTGGGAAGGCAGGGCCAACCCAGGGGAGCTCAGGTGCATGCAATGTTCCTGAGTGACTGGAAGGAATAGAGCCAGGATCCACCCCTTTCAGACCTCATTTCAAGGTTGGCCATCTTGTTGGAGATTCCTGTTTGCTTGAGGCTCTCTAAAGGTAAGTGCCTTCTTTCCTTTATTTCTGTGCCTGTGGCTGTTGCTTTTGAGCAAGTCCTCACTTGCTGCAGCCTAGGACTTTGCTGTTTCGCTGTTATTGCTGTGCTTTCCATTACATTCTCTAACAAATGTAATTGTTACATTCTCTAACAGAAAGAGAAATACACAGTGCTGTACTTGTTAAAATCAGCACTGATTTTAACTGAACAGGATGCATATGCTCAGTCTCTTGAGGCTCTTTCTGATGGTACATGATCCTGAGGAGTGTCTCTTATAAAACTGTGACTGCTCAGTGTTCCCTGAATTTGAGCTGCGATGTCTAGTTAGCAAACAAGGGGATTTATAGGTTGTTTGGGTGTAGATACCAAATTCAATTCATGATTCTGCTCTACTGATCTTGGAGAAGTGAATTAATCTGAACTGGGTAATTATAGATTGACCGAAGGGAGAAGTTATTAGTAGTAAATAGATTAGTTTTCCTTGTATGATTCATTCTAGATCAGCATATGTGTGTGTTCTTTGAAGGAAAACAAGTATAGTGGTCATTGATTTTCTCCAAGTAGTATCTGGGCCATAGAAATGCTGAGGAGTTTATTGCTTGTTCTCAATGTCAGATGGGAAATAAGTATTTACCAACTTCTGTGTTTTTTTCATATGGGGTTTTCCATAAGCAAGGGTACTTCTGTATTTTAAAAGGAGCCACCCTCGTGTACCAACTAAACAATATATTGTGTTGCATAAGTATTAGTAGAAATTCTGAAAGCTTAACAAATTAACAATTGAGCAACAGAAGAAGCTTTTTTTCATTCTGTGGACACCAGTCACTTAATGTTGCTGTAATAAGTGTAGTTGCATGTGGAGCGAGAGAGAGATACAGTGTTTATAATGCGTTCACTTTTTGATCAGTTGGCAGCAGACAGTTCTTTCCAGGCAGTGCTGTCCTTTCAAATCCAGAAATTTTGTGTGGTTGTTGGCTTCCAGTCTTTATTGTGTGCGCTCATACATGTGCACCTAAGAGATTCTTGTCATAAAGATAGATTTCCGCTTCATGATATGTGTGCCAGAATACTTCCTTACGCAAGAAATATGTATAATATTAGACTTGATTAAAAAATTACTGTAGTGAATGTCACTGATGTTTACACCATGGTAATGTAGATTACTTGGTTGCAAAGGTTAGGATAGCGCTAAGTAAGTAATTTTGCTGCTCAAAGAACTTTTGAATTTGTCCCTTAATTTAGTATTTCAGTAGATGATGTTGTGTATTTTTGGAAAATATTTTCTTGCTGTTGTAACAAAGCAAGGAGTTTATTCTCTACCATGCAGCTTTTTTTTTTTTTTTTTTTTTTTTAAGTTGTTGAGCTAATATGTATTTAGATAATGATTTTTAAGAATTTAGGGATATTGTCTAATTTGCAATTGGCTGTGATGGCACTCCTGGCTCTAGTCTTTGGTTCTGTGATTAAGAGTGATTATATGGGTTCAGTGTTCTCATTTTTGGTGGTTTTCTTACTTGGATTGCTCGTCTTGCTTCTTGGCTATGATGAAAACAAATGAACACAAAAGAGGAGAATTAAATTGGAAGGGTCAAGTGTTTTTTTTTTTTTTTTTTTTGTCTTGGGAAATTTATATGGAGAAATAAATTTTCACCACCTACAGAATTCTTCTCAGATTTGAGTCTTCCTTGCTGTTAAATAAAAATTGGGGCCAATATAGGCACTTTGTTCTTTGCATCAGATGTTGTAAGTCTAACAATGTTAGATAAATACAAATAGTTGCTCTTTAAGAGAGCTCTCTTACTTTTTATTTTGCCTTTTTGAAGAACTGCTCTCTATCTTACATTACCCAGTGTATTGCGTGGATCCAACTCTTTTGGCAGCCAAAGCAAAGTGACTGCTGTCTCTTTCCCTCAGGAGGGAGGAGGAAAATGGGAGAGGTGAGTGGCAGAAAAGGTGGGAAAGAGGAAGAGTAGCAGCAATGAAACAAAGGGAAAATCTGGTGTGTATTTGAAGGCGTGGTGGTTGTAATCAACAAGATATAGTACAGCCCTATTCTGTCTCCTTTTCTACCGGTGGTAGACTAAATTCCTTCAACTCCAGATCATTGTAGTCCTCTTGTGAATTATTTCTTCTCATCCTGTTTTCTTTGCAAGTTTTGTTTAAACAGTTTCTAATGTGTTTTGTTGGACTGCTGAGAGGGTTGTGAAGAAGATGAAGCCAAGCTCTTGTCAGAGATGTACACCAAAAGGACTAGAGTTAGTCATTGATGGCTGCAGCAAGGGAACAGCTGTATGTAAGGAAAAAACTTCACAGTGAGAAAGATTGAGTGGAAGAGGTATTCAGGCTATAGAACCTTCATCCTGGGTGCTATTCAAACTGCAACTGGACAGAGTCCCAATCAACCTGATCTAACTGTAAAGTTGCCCTGATTTGAGCAGTGGATTGGACTAGATGACCTCTAGATGCCTCTTCCAACCTAAATTAGGCTGTGATTCTGCAGCTCTATTGGCGTGGTCGTCCGTAGCAAAATGGCCAGAATTAAAGCAGTTGTTTGGAGTTGTTAGTGATTTTCAGCTATTTTAGAAATGAACTAATACTGCGTATTTTAAATCAGGCATATTTCAGTTGCAGAGTTGTTTTGCTTTGGAATGCTACTTCTGAGTCTTATAGCAACTGTATTCGATAGTCTTCAATGGTAATAGAGTGCTGTAAGGGCCAATATTTTGTTCTGTAATATGTGGAATGCTATTCCCCAGTTTCCATTTAATGAAAGAATGGAGCACATGAAGGAAGATCACTGATTGCCTGTGCCAATGTTCCTCGGGTGCTTTGCTGAAAATAGTTTCAAAAGGGAATGTGGAACTGTTGACCATTAGAAGTTCAAGATTTCATT